CTGGGCGGGAGCCGGGCACCGGGCACCGCCTGCTAGGTTTGTGTATGTTATGTACATATACACACACATATGGATCATACGTATAGCTACATGTTTATATACTCCCTTATAAATGTATGTTACATATTTTGATAATTTATGGTTTCCTATATTATACCCGTTGGGGAATATGTATTTTGGGGGTATCCTTCCAGCCCCAAAGTGACAAACACTGGTGTGCAGCGGGGCACCGGAGGAGGCAGAGCTGTAGGACACCATTTGTGCAGCACGTGCAGAACGCAAATGGCTGCATCAGCCCCAGGCCCCCCGTGAGCGTCAGCATCGATGGTCCCATATGGACGCTTTCGCACTCTGTGCCCCGCAGGTGCAGGGTCTAAACGCGTAACTGCTGGCAGGATCAGACCCTCAGGTACTGCTAACATAGTTCTTACTTTTAGTCCGTGGTTCTGGGAAAACATCCCGATGCAGCTCCTCTTATTAGCAAAATGCAGGACGTGTTTGTGAATAAGCCTTATAACCATGCAGTTAGCACTGAAAACCCATCCGGCGCTGTAATTAATGCCTTTGGTGTAGATGGAGACAGTGCAGCGTGACGGGCTCCTCACTCACCCAGACGCTGAAGTCCACTGGGAGGTGGTGACAAGGCAAAGCAAGGCAGAAATTTGGCCAACCACGTGAATGTTTTTCCTCCCCCTCACCCTCTACCTTTGCCCCTGCCCTCGCACTGCGTTCCCATCAGAAGCAGTCAGACCTCCTCCACCACGATGTTCAGAGTGAGGGTATTCCTGCAAAAAATCCTGATTCTTCTGCACGTTACTACATGTGTTGTTGTTGGCAAAACACTGATGTTACTGTTCCCTAATGCCATGAAAAGACACATCCTAAAACAGGGTGAAAAGAGCAGAATGAATGAGAATCCAAAGTTCAGCTACGAAAACTGGGGTCCGACTTTTTTCAGCTTCAAGTATTTGCTCTTTGTGCTGAAGGTGAAGTGGAGGAGGCTGGAGGATGAAGCCTATGAGGGATATCCCGCTCCCAACACACCGGTGGTGACTTTCAACGGGGACATTCGTCACCTCTTTGATTTCATGCAAGGTCAGTACATCGGCCGCGTAGTTGGGGTTGGTTTGCTAAGATGGCAAGTGAGGAGAAGAAGCTGCTGAGGGAACAGGGACAGGCAGCCAGCACGAGAACGCGTGACAGAGCAGACCAGACTAACAGCACTCATTAGACAAAAAAGATGCAGCACATTCATGCCAGCTGTCTGCCTCTCAAATGTCAAAAATAACCTGTGTTTATAATCCTGGCTGCAATATCCCTTCAAGCCTGTAAGCTTATGAACGTCTTGCAAAAGCTGGCTCTGCCTGGAAATACCCCTTCACTGAAAGCCAAGATAATTATTTGTTTTAGGGAGAGAAGACCCAGAATCGGAACCATGTGCAGTGATTCACGAGTGCTGGCTGTCATTCCCTGTATGTAAAGTCCCACACCAGCTCCCTCAGCCAGCCTAAAGCCCAGAAAGTGCACAGTGGTTTTTTCCAGCTTCAAAGCAGCTAGAAATAAAATGGAAGAAAAAGAAGTTGCTTTGTACTTTGTCCACTGCCTCCCAACTGAGGTCTCTGTAGAATGTGGAATTAATCATTAGTCTCGATCCCCATGGGAGGGATTACATCCTTCTCTAACTCTGCTTTTCTAATTTTATATATATATATGTTGAAAATAGGATACAAAATTGGAAAAGAGATACCAAGTGCTACAGGAAGGTACCCCCTTTATTAGATGCTTTAGGATGTGAATCCATGCTAGCAGCAGTTTTTGAAGTAAAGCCCAGCCAGAAGGAAAATCTTGAAGAAATTTCAGATCATTTACCATGACCATAGACTAAAAGAGGTGCTTAAAAATCCTGCAAGTTCTCTTAAATCGAAGCCTTATGATCCATTAAACAGATGCTAACACCTGTGGGCACATACTGTGTTAATTTTTAAGCAACTGCATGGACACTTTTGCCGGTGGCTTGTGTAACATCAGTTTAATAAATGATAATACATTACCAGAGATCTGTTTGGACAGGAAATTGCGGAAATACATTGAAAGCATGAAAGCCCGTCATGCGTGACTGAAAAGTGCTGCTTCAACTCAGCTCAGCTAGAATTGACACCTCTGGAAAAAAAAAAAAAAAAAAAAAAGACATATCCAGTATGTTCATTAAACAGCATTAAGACATCTCTGAACCACTGTCCTTTCAAAAACCTCATAGATGATCATATTTAGTGGTTTTGAAGTTCCTTTGTACAAAAGATCTCGGGGAGGTGTGATGTGCTCTACAGGCTGTATGTCCATTTTAGATCAGTTCCCTATCCCAAAATGTTGGTAACATGAGAAGTGGCTCTTGTGATGAGGGCGCGAGAGGAGCCGTGTGACTGCATGGTGCCTTCTGCCTTTCCTGGGCTTTACCAAGGAAAGGATCCCCTTCGGTTAAGCTCATTGCCATATCCGGCACAGGTCAGAGCCAGGCTAGGGAAAAGAAAGCATCTTTATGCCCATTTTGCACAGATGCAGATGTTCTGCTGCTGATTTTAATGTCCTCAGAAGAAAGTTATGGGAGAAGTGACTTAGCTACTATTGCCCGGGAAATTCAGCGTCAGAGGCTCAATTCAGTGTATGTATTTAATTCTGTCCTTCCTCCCTCCACTGATTTAACTACAAACTGTCCTGTTTTTTTTTCCAGATAACCGACCTTTAATCCTGAATTTTGGAAGTTGCACCTGACCTTCATTTATGTTAAAATTTGATGAGTTCAACAAGCTCATCAAAGATTTCAGCTCAATAGCAGATTTCCTTATCATCTACATTGAAGAAGCTCACGCAGTAGGTACGGTACAAACATCACAGCAATGCCTACCAAAACTTCAGACATGTTATCATGTTCCTTTAGGAAGAAAAGCATGTTAGCAAAGGAGGGAACTACAAACAGGAAAGCAATCTTCCTCAAATCAAAAGTGGCAATACCAAATCTAGGCACCAGTTTGTGTCCTTAATTCTCTAAAAGGTTTTACTCACACATTTGACTTCATACCAAGGCACTCCTGCTGAGGACACTCCTCTCTATGAAGGTGAAGCACATCATTATATCTTTACAAATCTTCCTCGCAGTGTTAGTAGAGCTCCTTTTGGAAGGGAGAAAACAAAAAAAAATTCCAAGAACAAAGGTTAAGTGTATGATGCCAGTGTGTTACACGTTTTTAAAAAAAAAAAGCTAACATCTCAAGAACAGGATGCAGACTCCAACTTGAAAAATTTAGCAAACACACTATGCACACTCTTATCTACACTGGACTCTAAGTAACACATTGGCACTGATTTTATCCCAGGGTTAAGGTGGTTTTCTAAAACGTAACGTTTACAGTTTCCGAATTTTCTAACAATACATCACTTTCAGTAGTGTAGAAACACAGTAACTCAGTCAGTCATCAAAAACTTTTACTAGTTTCTACTTTACCAGGAAGAGTTGTGTGCAAATGCATGTTTCTGAAAAAGGAAGGTGTGCCTTGGCTCAAATGTTTCACTTCTCACAAATTGGAAATTTTGGTTTATAGGCTTAATAAGTCAAGCAGGATGAACAGTACAATTGTTGCCCCTGTACTAAATGAGCAGGTATCAGCTGATGGCACTACTTACCATTGTAAAATCCCCTCCGTACCAACAATTTTGACAAACTTTACCCAAATAGGATATATGTGTGTCCCCCTGATATCTTTCTAGGGTTGATTTATGTGGGAAAATTTCAGCTAAAATACATCAAATATTTACAAATCCACAGCAAGGGGAAAATACAATTTGCTGAAATTAAAGGAAAAAAGAATAGCTCTTGGGACCATTTATTTGAAAAGCTCTAGTGTTCTCATACTCTGAGGGGGAGCTTTCATTTCATGGCAAGTTTTGGTGCTAGGAGTAAATTGCAGTATTCTTTTAACACAGTCTCGGGACGTGACACACAGTACATCGCCACCCTTCACACCTATTAAAAATGCTCCTTGCTAAATCCCTTTTTAATTTGTTTTAGATGGATGGGCTTTTAAGAACAATATTGTTATTAAAAATCACAGAAGCCTTGAAGATCGAAAAATTGCAGCACAATTTCTTTGGAAAAATAATCCTTTATGTCCAGTGGTTTTAGACACTATGGAAAACCTGAGCAGTTCAAAATACGCTGCATTGCCAGAACGACTGTATCTGCTTCAAGGAGGAAAGGTCATCTACAAGGTAAAAAATATCAACAGTAATAATGAGCACAATATATTGAGATTTTTAAATTTCAAAATAATTGGGAATGCTTTACATTTAACAGTCAGTATTTCATTCTGTTTGAGAGCTAAAAGTTTTACAATTTGCAGTAACTGTGAAGAGCAAAGGACTTGCAGTAAAAGCAGTCTGGGCCTTTTTAACGTACGTATTTGATGTACACCTCAGTCTTGCTCAAATATTTATCTTCTGGTTCATTAGGAAGCCTAGGTACACCTAAGCTGGGGGATCCAGGAACGCTTTCCAGCTCCAGGATCCAGACGCTGGCCCTGTCCCAGTTACGCAGCAGGGTGTAACCTGTGCACACACCAGCTCCCACGCAATGGCTGTCAGGCAAAGGAAGCCCAAGCACACCTGCCCACAGTTCTGGTGCAGCTCCTGTGCTCTAAAGGACTTCTGCTTTGCCTACTTGAGCATCACCATATAATTTTATTGGCTTTGCAGGGAGGAGTGGGGCCTTGGAATTATCACCCCCAGGAAATACGCACCATCCTGAAAAAACTGAAATAGAAAAAGCAGAGGACTTCAGAGTAAAGACTATCTGGATAAAAAGGCTCAATGAATAAGTTTTCACAGACCTAAGAAGAAAAAAAAATAATTTAAAAATAGCAATAGAGACAACAAGAAAAAGAATAATGTATGTGTATCTAAAGAGCATCCATAATGTGGTTCATTATGTGTTTGTATAGAGTTTTTCAAGTCTCATCACTACAACCCCAACTACTGCACCGTAGGACCTCACTATGCTTATACCGCGTGCAGTAACAAATAGTAGCCGGGTCCACTGAGCTGTCAGGACTGGATACCAACATTTACATTTGCGATAAATATCGTGCAGGATAAACTTCAGGGGTGGTAACATTTGCAAAAGTCGACTGGCATGCAAAACAACCGATTTCACATTATTAAGATTCTCTTTTTCTTGTATATGTACAATTTTCCTAAATGTTTACTTTCCCTGACTTCAGAAGGCTTCTCAATAAGACAACCTCTGTCAACATTTGTTTCTATTAATACTTGTGATGACAGTCATAGCATAAAGCACGGACGGCTGTGACCTGATTGTAGAAAATATTTATAGAAACAAGGGATTGATCTGAAATTATTAAAAATCTAACACAGCACTTCATATGGCTTCAGATTATTTCCCTCCCCACCCTGCCCCTTTCCCCCCCGGGTTATTTCTAAGCATTCGTAGACGTTTATATTCATCCCACTAATCATGAACAGCTTGAGTTGATGAGAAAGTTACCAATTTAAGAACTTCTGAAGGACTTGTTTGACAGTAGGAAGTAATACCTTCCATTGAAGTATTTCACGCTTTTTTTTTTTTTTTCTATTTAACTCAGAGTGCAAGGGAAACATTTTACAGGAAATCAAGTTTTAATTCATATATTAAGAAAGCCTGATATAAACATACCAATTTAAATGGACTCAGTTCAAGTGTTCTAGGGTAACAGTCTAGGTTATAAAACTAGAAAGCTGTTACTACAATTAATAGGAGTACTGCATTACATACATTACACAGTGGGGAATACATACTACATCCACGCCTTCAAAAACCACTGTAATACAAGGGTTTAATAATAAATATTCTCTGTGCTACACATATCAAAATATAACTTCTTTATAAAAAAATTGAGGTACAAATTTAAGCTGGACTTAAGTGTTTTCTGCTGTGCCTTCTGCCATCACCCGGTGCACTGATACAAAATGATCAAAGGCAGATTTGATGATAAAACGCAAGTAAGTGGCTTGGAAATCAGGAAGCTGTAGAAGGAAAAAAAAATGTTATTGCATTCTCTGTAGTAACATAACTATCAAACAACATTTGCAGAAGTTTGTTAGACAGAAGGATCTAGATATTTCTGTGGCTGTTTTCAAATTACACATAAATCAAGCTCTTTGAATACATCTAGCCAGCTTTAGAACTTTTTTAGATGACAGCAACTCAAAAAAAGTCCCATCGCTCCCGAATACAGCAGCCTTAAAGGCAGCGACTGAAGGAGGAAAGATTGCCACACTTCTGGAAAGAGCTCTTTCACATTGTTGGGAGCAGTAGGCAGTTGCAATTTCATACCATAATCTACAAAGGAGCAGTTGAGAAGTGCAATTTCCTACCATGATCTACAAATTCCTGTATCTAACATCAATTTAACAATAACTGTAAATAAAGACACGTTTTGTTTTTTCATGGTTTCTCCCCAGTTAGTCTAGACATCCCATGTCATGAACCACTACTGATGTACACTGCAAATACTCACTGGAAATTCTTCCATTTGAAGCTGTCCTTCTGTGTGTTGCAAATCTAGAAAATACATTTTAAAGCAAGTAATGAATCATAATGTCCAATGCTGTGAAAATTTTTCACTGGACTTCAGAGTTCAAGAGACCAGGAACTTACACTGCATATAGAAATTTTTTTTTTTTTTTTTTTTTTTTACAAGGTGATTTAAGAGAACAAGTACTTTTTGCAATATCCCAGTGTATATATATATCCCACTCATTACGCTGTTTTATAAAATGTCACCCAAGAGGCATTAAAAAAACCACCCAAACCAAATAAACAATGTAGGAAGTGGCAATCTATTATACTATGTAAGTCTGGTTTTAATTTTTGGAACATAAAATCAAGTGCACAAGTAGTGCTTTTAGCCCTTACACAGCATTTTACATCTCCAAACTGCTACGCAGACCATCAGTGTTCATAAACTCCCATTTAAATGTGTCTATTACATTACATTTAATAAAATAATCATCAAGCCACACTTGACTACTCAACAAACAGACATAGGGCTAAAGTAACTCACTGAAAAGATTACAGTCTGTCAACTGTGATAAAAAGGATGGGTTTGTATCTGTATGGCTAAACAGAACCTAACTGAAAATCTAACTCAATTTTATAAGCGTAATTTTACAGACTACGTATACTTAGTCAAAGGCATAAAATTAAGATTTATCTTTAGAATAAAGAGTATAGCTTCCCAATGTATTTGTGTAACATCTTTATCTAAAAATGCATTTTTCAAGTTTGGAAAATGGTGCTATATAGCACCATGCTACATGACTGGAAACCTGGCTATTTTTCAAAAACGTCCATGTTTTCACTCAATGTTTAAAGAAACCAATGGGGAAGCCAAAGAACTTGATATTATGTATGCATAAAGTAATAGTTCCCTCCAGAAGAGCACCCAATAATTCAGGCACCCAAGGTGAAAATGCAATTAAGTTACTGTGAGAACCTACTCCGTGGTATAGTATCATAAGCATTTTTTATAGGAAAGCAACACACAATTAAAACACTAACCCAGACTAACTAAAATTAAGAAAAGTAGTCTAGGTCACAACTGGCAGTGACCAAGGCTGGCAATGTTCTCAGACACCTGCCAGGGCACACATCTTACTGTTATCCTCTCTTGTTTTGCTAGAAAAAAAACACACATTCAAGCTTCATTAGCAACTTTGGTTTTGATTATTTATCTCAGTAGTAACAATAAAAGTCAGTCAGAATCCTTCCTAGTTTGCCTAACACAGGCTTTGTTATTCTAAAACCTAGAAATAGTAAATGAATCACCAAATACAAAGATCAATGTTATTCCCACAAAATCCCCGCTGCTTCAATTCACAATCTTACCTTTTTCAATGCAGTGTTCAAAACCTACTGGGTCTTTAGATACACTTCTTTCAATCCTTAAGGTCCGCACTAAAATACACATACATTTAAAATATTAATACAAATTTTGATTCTTTATTGATAATGATATTTACTGCATCACTTTTCATCTACAAAGCACTTTAAAAGCATTAACTAATCCATTCGTCCTCTAACTTATGGGGTAGGACTATAATACAATCACCATCCTCATGTTCCAGGTTGGACAAACAATGACAAAGTTTCATGTCTTTTGCATAGCCTCTGCTAATTAATGGTCGAGCTCCTGTCTCCATGCTCTGACCTCGTAACAGTCCTTTCCATTTCAGAACTCACATTTTCCTTCACATTATTTAAAAAACCAAGACTGAGAGAGTTCTGTCCTATGAAATCATAAAAATAAATATTCAAAATAAATCATTAAAAGACTAAGTATTATAGTCCTGTCCATTAAATTAGAATAGCCATCACTGTGCAACAGGACAGTTAATTACAAGTTCAATACAAGGTGTATTGTAAGAATTTGTAAGAACAAAACAAGTGCAGGTGGGGGAGATTTTCCATCTTTTTCCAATTTATTTATGAAAAACTTTGGACGTGGAGGACAATGGCTTCGTTAAGCTAAACAAAGCTTTATGAATAATTAAGCTTTATGAATCTGTTAAAGTGACTACTTACAGATTCAACACTATTGTGACAATTTATATATAGACACATACACATATTTTAACATAGTACATATTACATACTGCAATATACAAAGTCTTACCCAAATAACACTGGATTGAGACTTTGCTGATTTTTACACATTTAGGGAAACCAATAATGAATTCCTGTGGGAACATGCCTGTCGTCGTCCAAAACGTTTCCAAACTTCTGTGGAGAAAAAAAGGACAAAACCCCCACCTGTGGCTCTCCATCTATAACCATCTTGAAATTTATCACAAAAAAAAAAAAAAAAAGGAAAAAGCTGCAGAGTCATTTTCATTTGGAGTATTTTAAGCAAACCCCTGTGTGACAACAGGGAAGCTCTCTGGAGGTATTAATACTTCAACGTTCAGGCTCTGTACCCGAGCAGTGCCACTGAAGGACTCACGAATGGGGGGGTAGGGTGCGAGAAAAAGAGTTAAATTATGTTAATTTAAGAAATAAATTGCCCGCCAACACGAGCGGGTAAGCAAAACGCAGAGCCCGGCAGCGACGGG